TGGCTTCTGATCATGCATATCTTTTTATCCTCTTTTGGCCATCTTTAAAACAAAATGCACTTGACCAGCACCTGTACAGTTAGAGTGTGGCTAAAGACTATACAGACAGTATCAAACATCATTCCTGGTCTCTACAGTGATATCAAACCATAGAAAAATGCCAGAGAGGATGACAGGTTCAGTTAAAAAACATGAAATTATACTTCCTTGGTTCTCCATATTCAATCTGATTTTGAAAACTCAGTATGACAAGACAGAGATCTAACCTTAGGTAAAACAATAAAATGAAAATAAAATCCCACTCACATATCTGCCATTGCACTGAATAAATAAATGGCTAAGAACTTTCTATTCACAAGCAAGTTGCTAGTGAAAATGCAGATAAAAAGAAAATGTTGACTTACCACAGCCTTGTTCATCAGAACCATCCCTACAGTCTGGTCTACCATCACAACGCCCATATTCACTGATACAGAGGCCACTGGACACACAGGTGAATTCATTGGGTCCACAAGCTGAAGAATCAAAAATGATGAATATGCAAATAAATGTATTCAGTATACACAAATCATAATACAGTACAAAAAGTCTCCCCCACAACATTTTCGTAAAAAAATAAAATAATATAAATAGGTAAATAAAACATGTAGCATGAGCAAAATCAGGCCTTCAGCATAACTTGAAAATAATGATGCAAATCATTTACAAATTAGAACACATCTAATCATCTGAAACTAAACATCAATTTCATTAGAAGAGAATGGTGTTAGAAGCTGTTCCATGGATCTGTTCCATTACATTAATGGCATGCTTTCCCATGAAAACTTAGAGCAAAAGACATAATGGACGATACATATACATATACGTGTATATACTTATATTTTTTCCAACAACCAAACTCAATAACTTCCTTACATAAAAAAATGAATTCTACATATGCATACACACACACATGTATGCACATACAATCAGGCACACACACACACACACACACACACACACACACACACACACACACAAATAAATAGTTAAATAAAGAAATAAAAAAATAAATAAATGTAGACCACATGATATTATTGTCAAAGCAATCTACATACTATACATTCCCAAATTTGATGGTACACAAAGGCTATATCAAAATTTCTTTCTTTCCCCAAAAGAACATATAAAGATTATGCTCATAATAGCAACACAAGGAAGAAAGATAAATACAAGAACATAATAATGATACAAGAGATTTTTACAACACAGACACAATGTAGCACTCTATATCCTATTACTACATATCTCCTTTCGTAGACCACATCTCTCACAGCAAAAAACAAAACATACTAGGTACAATCTTTTTTCTACTAAATTACTACTTATATATATATATATATATATATATATATATATATATATATATATATATATATATATATATATATATATATATATTATATATATATATATATATATATATGTATATATATATATATATATATATATATATATATATATATATATATATATATATATATATATATATATATATATATATATATATATATATATATATATATATATATATATATATATATATATATATATATATATATATATATATATATATATATATAAAGACTGAATGACTTCATAATTCAGAATCTAAAGAAATTCCATATATAAATGTATAATTGTCAAATTACATTTCTATATATTTCCTTTTATAGTCACCATCTATGTATATCATAACATTAATAAAATAATAATAAGAGACTCCCTAATATGCATATTTATTTACTTACAATAACTAACTCTGACATTTTATTAGGTAAACTCGTTCAGACAGCACACAATGGTAAGATGCTAACAAACTAAAATTGAATGGTTAAAATTTTTCATAATAGTTAGATGTATTGATACTGTTTTTTTACATCATATATAATTCATGAATATCAAATATCCATTACAGTCTTAATAAGTTCAGTGATTTTAATCTGTGAATAGCTAGTAAAGTTAACAAAGAAATATTATAATGATTAAAGAATTAAACATAACAGACTTCATACATGGTTGATTTAATTCCTAAAAAAATTAAGTGAGTACTCTGATTATTCAGCATTTCATTTAACTCACATAATAAGGTCACATTACAAAGCTAAAACAACATTTATCCAACGACACAATCTGAACAACTACAGATTCCCACAAAAATAATAAGAAAAGAGGCAAACCAGGTATGCAGTTCTCCTCATCTGAACGGTCAATGCACTGAGGTGTTCTGTCACATCGCTGATAACTTGGAATACAGTCCCCATTCCTGCAAGTCCACTCACCAGACCCACATCCTGTGTACCACACATTCACAAGGGATGTTAACATTTGCCATTAAAGGATGTAATCTGTATGAGATTTTCAGCATATTATTTAAGGAACAACTCACTACTGCCCTAAAAGGATCACAGACTGTAATGCAAATAATAAAAATGAGACAAACCAGGTGGTTCTGGCCTGC